GGAAAGGGTTCAGAGAAAGATTACTAGAATGGTGCCTGGGATGGAGAGGTTGTCATACAACGAGAGGCTGAAATCTCTCAAACTGTTTTTTATTTCTTGAAAAAAGAAGAGTTAAGGGGAATCTGATTGAGGTGTTTAAGATTGTAAAGGGAATTGATAATGTTGATGTATCATCTTTTTTTATATTTACCAATGAGAATAGTAGGACTAGGGGGCACAAATATAAATTTTAGCAAGGTAGGAGTCATCTTCAGCTAAGACAGTTTTATTTTTCTAAAAGGATGGTTGGCCTTTGGAATGAGTTGCCTTCAGATGTTGTAGAGGCAGTAAATTTAAGCGAGTTTAAGAAAAAGCTTGATAAGTATAGGAATGAAAAGGGATTGGTTTAAAAAATTTGTATTTTATTTTTTTAATCATTTTAATTTAGTTTTGAGGATGGAACAGCCAAGATAGACCAATAGGTCCCATGTTGTCCCAAAATATTATGTTATGTTAAAGCCTTTTCAACACTACATATAGCAGTTGTAGTGTAGTTTACATATTGTTATACACTATTCTTTACTTTCACTCGGAAGTTCTTATCAATAATGATAACACATAAACCTTAATATTGTATGTAGGGATGTAAACTTCACAAATTTTATGTTTCAATTTATTGTATATATATATGTCAAACACATTAAAATGTTTCATGTATAAATTGGGTGAAAAGGTTTTTTTCTTTAATATATAGATGCTGAATTTATAGTGAACAAAGATGGTAAACCACAACCAATAGTAGATTATGGTGTTCAAGCAGGTTTTAACAGTGACACAAAACCTGTGCCTGCTGACTGTTATCGGTAAGTTCTCCTTGTAGATCTTAGTGCAATGAAGTATCAAATGTATGTGCCAAACCTTGAACGAAGTAAAAAAAAAAAGGTGATTTTTATTTTTCAAGTCCACTTTTATGAACTTATGACATTTTATTTTTTCAAGATAAGACTACTTATGATTCAGCAATTCTAACATATTTACAAATATGTAAGGAAATGAGTGATTTGTCCAGTAAGTTGCTTTTCTATAATAAAAAATAAAATTTAGATTTATAAAAATAGTTGTTTAAAACTATCAAGAGCATTAATATGTGTTGAACTGTGGTTCATTTTAACAATTTAATTAAACAAGGTTATTACTGATAATTAGTATAAGGCAATGAGCTGTTTAAAACAGGAAAAAAAAGGATTAAATAACAAAATGTAAGTACTAACAGTTATAAGTTTTGAAAAAGTGTCATGAAGTAGTTGTATATGCCTGTCCATTCATGTTGCATAATTAAAATGAATAAATCAATGAATTTCTGAGGTAATGGGGTGCACTCCTCCATTAGAGCTGGTTTCAGTTCATCAAAACTGTTTGGAGAGGAATCATACTGCTAATCATCTTTATAGAACATCCTACACATCAGCATTTCCCAAATTGTGGGGCTTGCCCCCTAAAGGGGCACAAGTGATTAGTAAATAGTGCAGTAATGCACAATTAAGTTTTCATATATTGTTTATTAATGAAAATAATAAGTAATTACTACAGTAAATATTGCATTTTAATGTATATCCATGTATTACATCTCATAACTCACACTTTCACTCATTTAGGGGAGGGGGGGGCATGCAGGAAACCATATTTATTAAATGATGGTGTGGATGAGTAAAGTTTTTGAAATGCTGCTATACATAATCAGATTCAATCTAATGTGTACATTAACCAGGATATTCACTCAGTACCCTCTTATTCTAGGAAGTTACTAATCAATTAAGCATTGTGAGAGTGCTCGTTATCATCCATTAGAAAAAACATTTTTTCCAACTGCATTTGTATATGGTATTCATAGTGCCATTGCAACACGTAAAGGTTAGTTTAACAACCAAAACTGGTTCCTGCCTAGACTAGTATGCCAGAATTACCATATGCACCATTTTCCTTTATGAATTTGGTCTCAGCCACCATCCAAATGTGTACATGTCTGGCTGCAAAGTGAATCATGATACGACTGTGAACAAGAAATTTTTCCATGTGTCGTTTTGGTCAATTCATATGTTGTTGACATAAAACCTACTTTATGAAGCCTGTTTCTTACTGTGTGTATGTTCCTTTATCATCCAATTTCTGCTCTGAAATGTTGATTCTGTTGAGAAACTGAGACTTGCTGGTTACATAATTCTTATGATACAGGTCTCCAGCCAACTATATTGGTAGTCTGAAAGTGAGTCTGCATCCTGCTAACCACACCTTCCGAGACTCGTAGCCACTCTGCAATCAATTGATGAGTTTGACTGGCTTTTTTTTTTTAATTGTGGCATGTTTCAGTGTCGATATAGATTTCTTTACAGGCACTGCTGTTGTTCAACCCTACTATACTTTTATATCTCACTGAACTGTGCCTATCAGATCACTTCACTAGTAATCTGAGACTTACTTTACATAAAAAATGAACTTGGAGGTGCTACTAACATTATATTTTAGATGTAGTTGTGTATTGTCAAAGCTGTGATTTAGAAAACTCTTAATTATCCCTTAAGCATTCTGTGTGTGTGTGTGTGTGTGTGTTTCTATATATATATATATATATATATAGGTATAAGCAAAGGAAAGTAAAAATATCTGGACAAGCCCACAAGTGTAAATGTTAAAATATACCATTTCATGTTAGTTTTAGTGTTTGGAAGAAGTATTTGCATCTCTTGAAGTATGTAGTATTAATATTTATGAGTGCTCACTGATGATAGAAACTTTGGTGAGTATTTTCAACCAACATCATGCTGCAAGTTACAATGCTGTCTTTGTACAATTAATGTAAAGTTTATCTTTAATACAGTCATAAATTTTTACCAGGAATTTACTGACGTGTTGATAAATAAATAACAAAAAGATGAAGTAGATTGAGATTATAAAAAAATAAGTGATTAATGATAACATTTATACTCCAATGTGGTAGAAAAATTTGACACAGAAAACTAGTGTAACAGACTGTTAATAGTCACAATTTTCAATTCACAAGATGCACACAAGTATAAAATATATAACATTGATTAGGTGACAAATAAATACTGATAAATGTAATATAATAAGTGTGATGATTTAAATTATTTGATTATTTCATAATCTTATGTAGTTTAATTTGTATTGTGTTATATTTTAATGCAGTCAAACTTATACTAAAGGTAAAATTATACTTTAGTACTTTGTACATAAAAAATTATTTTGCTTAATTATTTGATGTAATTTTTTGTTTTAAAACATAAAAGTTTTCTATTGACGAGTACTTAATTTCAGAATTGCCCTGCTGGTATGGGACTTCAAAGATCTGACAATGCACTCTCAAGATGTCATTGGTGTGAATGCCTTGAATATAAGGTTACTTACAAAACTTGGCTACACAGTGGTCCAGGTAAGCCTTTTAAGAGTGTGATGAATTACAGATACCTGTTTAATCAATTATGAAAGTGGAATATTTTGGTAAACACTATCCAGCATAATACTAATTATATTTTATTGAGTATTTAACTAATAGCTAATCCAAAAAATAAATATTTTTGTGTTGTTTTTCTCCTCTTCTGTTTCAGGTATTACATTCAGAATTCAATCTTCTAACAACTACGGTAAAGAAAGTGCAGTACCTCCAACAAAAAATCGCAGAAGTGCTGCATAATAAAGATAGCACAGTATTCTAGTTTCTAAATAAGAGGAATGTTTAAATAAATGTAGTTTTAAACTTAAGTTTTGCTCTAGTTTTTAGATGGCCAGATGTATTTGGACTGAAATTTGCAGAATAAATATCAATAATTTAATTTAATTTTTATTTCGTAATGTGATAATTTTTTTTGTACTTATCAATAATAGTTTTGTGTTGCTTAAAACAATTTCATGTATATATTGTAACTTTATGAAAAAAAAGTAAATGATAGTAAACTTGTAGGACCAATGACAGAAGAGTACCACAGAATCTTAATGAACCATAATAAAGCAATAAGAACAAAGATACTACAAAACAAAAGTTATGAACAATGTACCTAACTCTTTGAGATATTTTAAAAATGTATTGTTTTGATTTAAGGTTTATATTGGTTTGTGTATTTTTTCTATAAATTAAATAAATGTGGGAGGGAGATAACTAATAAAGAACAGTACAGCCATATATATATCTCTCTATATCTTTAAAATACATACACACAGATACACCCTAATAATAGCTTTTAAAAGACAACATCCTTTAAAAAGTTTTTTCTCTTTTTTTGCATGTTCATTTAACATTATAATGACCACAAGGCCATGTTACCTATATAGTTTTAATTGTATAGATAACGATGTGGATCTGGTTATGTCTTCTTTTTTTTTGTTTTTGATTGAATTTCCTCAGTTATTAGATTACAAAAGATATTCAAAATGGTAGTAATTAAACTGAGATGTTATGGCTGAAAATTAGCTCTGTCTATTTTATAAACCCATACAGAGTCAATTCCATCATTGATTATGTATTTAGGATCCCAACTAGGCAGTGGAAATCTGCAAGCTATAAGACAAGATCCATTTTTCATTTCCTGTTTAGCTTTTTCCCCCAGTTCTTGCATCTGCAATCATAAGAACATTCTTATTGAAAGTGAATTACTTTTACACAGTATGTTTTAACCCTTGAAAAATATTTGTATTTTTAATTTTTCTAAATTAGTTTATTGATGAAAATGAACATTAGACAGTTATTAGACAAACTGTTACAAGTGAATGATTGACATGTTGAATACATAAAGGTAATCTTGATTACCATAAATATTCAAATTCAATGGCTCTAAAGTTAATAAAATATTTCTAACTACTTTTAATTTTTCGACAGAAAAAAGTAATAACTTCACAGCAGAGTAGGTCTAGTTAAGGTTTTCGTAAAGACTGCTGTATTACTGATTCTCAACACAAGAGGGCAGTAAAACATCCATCTAGATAATTATTATTGGTTGCTGGTATTTCTAAGAGTGTGTTCACAACATTTGGAGGGTGTGGATGGATCTTCATCAAATTTGGTATGGTCATTCATTGGGTCCATGGGGAGATAATACAGATTTTCAGTTTTGAATTTTGTAGTTTTTATGGGCATTTTTACCACTATTTTGCCCCATGTAGATAGATCTTCGCTAAATTTGGTATGGAGGTTCATTGGGTCCATGAAGAGATACATATAAATTTTCAGTTTTGCATTTTAGGGTTTTTATAAGCATTTTCCCATTTTTTATCACTACTTTATCTCCTGTTGATGGATCTTCACCAAATTTGGCATGGAGGTTTGTTGGGTCCATGCGGAGATATATGCAAACTTGCATTTTCACCTTTTTTACAATTATGTGCAAGGGAAGCAACTTTTAATGTCTTAAGCACAAACAGCCACCTGTCGGGCGGTGTTAGTATGACTAATACTGAATGCTGCATAAAAAAACAAAAACTTTTGTAATATAAACTACAAATATAATTATCCCTATATTGATTATTCCAATAATCCAATAGAAGTGAAAAGGCTGTTTAACTTTGAGCAACATTCGTCCTCTAGAGAAGTCTGTTGCAACTGAATTTTTACACATTTTTAGGGAGATTTTCTGGTTTATGTATTGGGGAAAAAATGCATTATTTAAATAGATTTATCCCTTTAGTAGTTATCTACAAATAGTTGAGAGGATAACCTTTTAAAGTTGAGTCTTCCTTCATATGTTTCACTTGAAACATAAGTTTAAATTAAAAAGAAAAATTATATTTCTAAAACGAATTGTTTTTAAAAATATTTCAGTACATCTATAGAATAAAAAAAAAGATGAAAATGTTATAAATAATGTAGAGTATCTACCAAACCTTTAAGTCAGTTATAAATCTAAATATGGCTTTAGACTCCTGTCAGTATACAGGTATGTAGAAGAAATATCAAGCAAATTGGGATATACTTTGGTTAAAGTAGTTATCCATTGTAGTTTCTTTAATAACTTGGTTAAAACCAATAGTGATTGCATACTTCACAACTTAAGATTTTCCTCTACCATTAACACATTGATTTGAAACATGTTTTTAGTTATTAATAAATAAGATATTCTAAAAATTATTTTTTCTTTGTGAAACAAATGCATCAGAGTTATTAAGAAGTATAAACTATAATGCTAACTAAACAGTTTTTTACTAAATGAGTTTCAAAAAGTAACTTTTAAAAGTTAAGCTCCATTACTACATTAAAATTACATGATCAGTGGTAATCTAATGTAAAACAAGGACATACATTTTAATAACATTTTCACATATCACAGTGTGCTTTTAAACCAAAATACTGTTTTAATCATCAATTACTTTGATCAAGGAAGCTTACCCACGTAGATAAAAACTAAAAATTAACCCAGTAATAGTGAAACTAATTTGATATAATAACTAGCTATATAGAAGTATACAATGTCATGAAATGAAAACTTACAATCACCAACTGTGACAGTTTTACTTCTAAGCTCCTAATTAAGAACTGCTAACCAGATATAAGAAAACCAGCCACTTGAATGGCTACTCTTAACTGAATAGCAGAATTGATGGCCATGTTTATTATACAACCAAAGCTAAAAGTGTGAAGCATATTGTAGTTTTTGCTGATCACAAGACCATGCCCAGCCTAGGTTTTGTGCAAGTTTTGGTGTTTTATCTTTTATGCCTTTAGTCTTCTTAAAGAGACATTACCATTCAATGTAGTGTACCAGGAAAAAAGGAGTAATTGTTTTCACCTAACTTGTGAAGCTTGTATCAAATAATCACATTAACTTTTTAAAATAAAGTTAATAATGTGCCTACAGAGTCAAGACTAGTATTCTTTTCCATCACATGTCTACCAACATTTGAAAGATACAGAACATTGTAATAAAAATAAAATTGTTAAAATTATTTGCTGAGAACCTACTGTTAATAAATGTAAAGTAAAAGAGGTCATTTTTAATAAATAAAACACAAGGTTGAGTAGGTTTATACTTATGCTAGCTCAAGTTTATGTGGTTGGCATCACTAACTGGGTGTACTTAAGTGTCATGCTGAGTACCTGATGATGCCATCCATGTTAACAGTGGCAAAACGTTGTTTTTAGATGATGCATTTTTTTATCTCATTTTAGCTGTTTTTAATTTTAAATTCTTCTCAGTTAATCTTTTTTTTTCCATAAAAATTTAACACATGTTTAAGTGTTAAAAAGCTTGACCTGTAAAAAAGCTTGACCTGTAGAACTGAAATGTGTTGTGAAGGAGATTCTTAGTACGTTTAAAAATGAAGATTTAAAGAATCTGTGTGGTGAAAGAAAAACTGGATGAATCTAGCTATAATCTAAACCAACAAATGAAATGATTAAGTCTGTTTTCAAATAATTCTCTCTTTGTTTTCAATCAGTTAAACATCATCCTTGTCTGCATATTTAAACAAACTGATTAATAGAAACACAGTATTTTTAAGACATATGAATGTGTTGAAATAAATGTATCAGATATGTTATATTACTTTATAAGATACTGATGAAAAAAACATTTATTCAGCCCAATTTCAATATAGATTTGTTCAAATTCTTGAAAATATCAGCTAACTAAGACTTACTACTTTTTCAATGTTCAATCTTATAAGATCAACTTTGAAAAATACAAAGAGAAATGGAATTCATTAAATTAGACTTGAGAGGCACTTAATCATTTTGTCAAAAAAAGTAAACTCAAATAACCATTTCTTAAATATTTTATAAAAAAGTAAGTAAAACCAAATATCCTATTATTACCTATTTGTGCAGAAAATGAACCACTAACAGAATCTTTAATTATAATCCTGAATATGCTTCTTCATTCTGTGATTGTAAAGCTAACATTTTCCTTACCTGAAAATGTATTTCAGATAGATACTTTCCTCTCTAAAGAAGTGAGAGCTTTTACCTCTGCCACTACCAATAAAGTTTTTGTACATGAACTAAGGCTTTGAGTGAAACTCACTTTCTAAGAATACAGCAACAGAAAAGGAAAGCTCGTGGAGTGTGTAACCCACTAGGGAAGAGGAGCTAGTGGAGCATCATGCAGTAGGAGACTGTATCCATTTCATTCAAGGAATATTCTTTGCCAAATAGAGTTGGTAGATCAAAAGGTAACATCAAAAGAATCTCCTGCATAGGTGGGTGGAATGTAGTGAATGCTCAACCAGCCCATGTAGCTCAGAAGGTCAGCAAAGTATGTATGTATAGAGTGGCTAGGGCAATAATTCAGACCATACAGTATATAAGAAATACTTATTAGAATCAGCAGGTGAATAAATCATTCCAGACCTGCATCTCAAATAGAACACAAGACCCATCCAGCTGGCATAACCATCATGAATGGTTTGGTTCTTCTTACTCCCAATCAAGCAGTGCATCCACTCAGTCACATATTAGTGGAATTACACTATCCATATTCACCTTCCCAGCATCTTAGAGCTGGAGAAGCAATGTATTTCCCTTTACTCCACTATAAGAAAACAGAACAAAAATAATTTGCATAGGGAAGAAAAGGTGTGTGGACTGAACAATGAAACCCATAGGTGTAAGAAATGGCAATGTGGTGTAAGAAATGTAACAAAGGTATTGAAAGTCATCCATACTTCACATGCAATATGACATCCAGGAGATGTTGAGCCAGACTCAAGAGAAGCTGTGAGATCACTAACTTTATGGAGGTGATGAAAAACAAAAGGACATAATCAGGGTCTGAATTATCACATAGAGGACAAAGGAAAGGGAGGGTGATTGGAGAAAATGTCCAACCACTTACCTGAGAAGTCCAAGTATTT